TCCTTCTACAGGAGGAATGTTCAAAATAGTCACAAACAAAATAATGAGGGGACGATTTTTTAGTTTTGATAGGGGGCCACAAGTGAACCCTACCCCTGCCCCCCATGATTTCTGAGGGGGAGGGTGGGGTTCACTTCGCTCGGGGCTGTAGGTGGAGAAACGTATCGGGGTCTCACACCTATTCCCCTAACAAAGACCCTTGCGGAGATTTCGACCCCGAGGATGGTAAACGCGACATGCCTCGTGATCCACCCGCGCCCCGCCCCGCGATCCACCCGCGGCCCGCCCCGCGACACAGCAGCGACCCGCCTGCGGTCCTTTGGCACCCCTGCGATTCGGGCACGCTCACTCTCATGCGCAACTGCGGGGCTACTTGAGCGACGCAGAAGAAAGGAGTCAAAGGCATTGGCGCGTAAGCTGCCCGCGTAAGGTCGCGCATAAGCGTTTTGTCTTTTGCATGGAGTGTCGCGTTGGTGGCCTGCGTGAGCCACCGCACAAGGTCAGTACGTCATCTGGCGTCAGATGCGGTTCTCTTCGTCGTTGTTCTCAAAGGATTTGGCCAATTTTGCAGCATGTGGGCAAGCTTTGTATCTATACTCATTGCGTCTTGCAATTTCGGGCTCCCTTCCCCAGAAGCCAGTGGCGCAGTGGATATGGGTACAAAGCTGGCCCCTGGGGGCCAGATGTTTATCCATGTATCCACTGCGCCTCGGCCTTTAGGCGTCCCTTCCCAGAAAGTCCAAGACGCCGTGCGCATGGACGTATATTCAAAAAGAGTCAAACATTGTCTAGGGACCATTGTTCTACTACTTTGGGCTATTTCTGAGTATGTTTGACTATTCTTGATTTGTCCTTCAAGATTCGCCTGTAGGAGGACATACCCGACCTAAACATAACCGTGCGTCGCGCATCGCGGGGCGCGATGCGCGAAGTTAGGTGACCTAGGCTCGTGTGGGCAGCGACCCGGCCGCGGAGGTTCAAGGTTGAGCTCCGCCAGTGGCCTAGAATCGGCCGATATGGAACGACTTGGCGATCGAAAAGCCGTTGGTCGTTCAAGGTTGAACGATCCACGCTGTACCAGAAACCAACGCCCTAGCCGTCACGACACGAACTTGCCGTTGGCGTTGGTGCAGTGTGCGTTTCTTTGGGTGTTTCCATCGGCCGTTGGCGCGTTGGTGCCCTTTGGATGGTGCCCACTGCGGTTGTGCCTTATGTTTTCATGCCGTAATTGTTGTTGGCACCGACCGCATGTGCACATCGGCAACGCCAGAACCTACGGGTATCGCATGAGCTGAACGCGCTGGGATTGTGTCTTACGTGGTCGAACCATTGCAGCGTTGTGTTTGCGCGTTTCCCCACAAGTTCAGTCAAACTGCGCCCAGCTTGCGAGCTCCTCCTGACGGCAGCACTGAGAAGGTTGCCCAGGGACGTGCAAGTTCAACAAGCCGTGGCGACATGCAGCCGCTTCAATCGGCACCCCACCGTGTGCTTCCCACCCCGCGGGTGGTGTCGCCGTGGCCTCTCGGCAAGGCCCTGCAGTGGAGTCAATGACGGCACGGCGCAGCCTGCGTTGTTCGCGACCCAGAGTGCGCAAAAGTTGCGGGTCGGTTCCTCTCCACCTCGTTGGTTCCTTCTCTTGTGAGGGCTCTTACGGATTGATCGTCAGAATCGAGGGAGCGCGTTGTTGCAAGGACAAGCAACCAGCAGAGAGAGAGAGGACCAGCTGGAGTGCCGATCGTCTTCACAAGTGAGCATGGCAATCAGCAGTGCAGCGTATTGACCGAAATGGGAGGCAGAGTTGCAGTGGATGCGGAAGCAAGGGCAAGATGGGAGGCAGAGTGAGTGGGACATGACTGAACAGATAATGAAAATTAGAGTGCCGCTCGTGAGGCCAGCGCGCTCCTAAGTATGAGATGCGCATTGGAGGGCCGTAAGCCAAGTACACTGCGAGTGATACCGAAATGTCCTACACATCTGTTTGCCCCATCTCAATGTCTCTGTGTTCCTCTCTCTCTCTCTCGCTCTCTTCTCTTATCTCGTTATATATCGCTATCTCCCTCTCGTTCTTTCTCATCATGCGTGTATGCTGTATCTCTCTTCATTGATAATTCTCTCTCTCTCTCTTTCACTCTCTCTCTCCCTCTCTCCCCCTACAGTTTGCGAGCTGCCAGCTGTAGCCCTACAGTTTGCTGTTGGGGATGATGAAGCAATACCGTTCCAGATTGGCACCATGCAGAAAGGCTGTGCCGCTAGCACGGATTTTCTTTTCAGCACCGCACGTTGGCAAGAACGAGCCTTGCATGAGAACGACGGCACATTGCGGCCCTCGGCGAAACGTAATTACCCAGAGCGTTGTCGGCCCCCCTTTCCTGGAGCCTTCCGAAGGCCACGTGAACGACGGAAGAAAACGGGGTCGTGTTCACCGACAGTGGCGCGTAAGTTGCCCGCGAAAGGTCGCGCGTAAGCGCCTTCACCTCAGCCCAGAAGGGTGGTGAGACTATTCTGAGGAGGACGGAGCAGGAGAAAGTGTGGGAGGAGCAGGCGTGGAGGAGGAGGAGGAAGAGGAGCAGAAAGAGGAATGTAATGGAATGCCCATTGGGGGAGTGCACCGCACTAAATAATCTCAGCTTCACTGAATGAATTTGGATACGAATCGGGGAGGGGGTGGTGAGAGAGGAAACAACTCTCAAACAACACCCGAAACCTATCCCATGGATTGAGCATCTCGAATGCTCTCCCGCACTCGGATTCTCTCAACCAAAGCTTTCATACGTTGCTCATAGGAGGGGGCAGCCTCTGACGCCGACAGACTCCTACGAACAGTCGTGGCAGTAGAGGTCTCTAGGTGCTCTGGCGGGACTCGGCGCAGCCTGGACACAGGGAGCACCTTGTCCAGCGCTTGGGCCACACGACGGTTTGGGCATCTACCTGGCCTCACCATGGCCAGGACCGTTGTGCCTTTACGAGTCGGGGGCTGACATGGACGCCCTAGTTCCTCAAGCTTAGCTTGGGACCAGCCTCCACACTTCATGCACACTGTGGTTTGCCCTCGAACAGTACAAACAGCAGCATCACCCTCAGCTTCTCGAGCCAGCCCAGTCGTGACGATGAGAGAAGACCAAGGGGATTCGAGAGCAGCCTACTGATATGGCGGGACACGCCTTTACAGCCATCTGAGGGGACTCCGTCTGGCGATCCTCCCGCCACGAGCAGACAACGTATGCACTGCAAGCCGAAATCTCCTTGTTGCCAGCAATGCCAGCTGGTCTGCCGCCTAGAGCGGCCCGACCGAAAGCGCGTCGGCCTCTTCCACCTTACCTCATTGGGGAACAGCGGGAGGATATGCGCAGATAATTTCATGAAACTTTGTGCTCGGGTGGCGGCGAGGTTCACGCTGAAAATGAAATCGGGATCGGGCGCAGGGTGGAGGGACAGCGCTGCCTTCGCTTGCCTATCTACGGCAGCGTTGGCCACGGCGAATAACCGATCGAGTCCTTCGAGCTGCGCCATCTCTTCTTCGGACCTGTGAGCTTTCACATGGCGCACTGTGTGTATAAGCGGCGTGCCCTCCAAACTCTGCGCAAACAGTCTGACACCTGCGAACTTGTTCGAAGCCGCAGAGGAGGAGGAGGAGGAGGAGGAGGAGAAGGAGGAAGAGGAGGAGGAGGAGGAGGAGGAGGAGGAAGGGAGGGAGAAGGAGGAAGATGAGTAAACAGAGGGTTAACACTAGCAGAAGCAAGACGAGGAGGAGGAGGAGGAGGAGGAGAAGGAGGAGCAGGAGGAGGAGGAGCAGGAGGAGTAGGAGCAGGAGGAGGAGGAGGAGTAGACGGAGAAGGAGGAGTAGGAGGAGGATTGAAGAAGTGGAGGAGTTGGCAGCGTGGAGGGGGAGCGTGGGATGAACGGGGAGTCTATTGAGAAAGGAAGATGCATCTTCATCGCGTCTCGCCGCCTCCCGCCTCTGCAATGCCCGCACCTAGAAACCCAAATTGCCAACGGTCTGCTCGACGGCACTTGATCGGGGCGGAGGCACCAGGGGTCAGGCCTGGCGGAGGTGGTCCAATCCTCCCTGGCCATGTTGTCCGACCCGCACGTCGTGGAGTCGGGCCCGCCCCCTGCTCCTTGCGCCGACCCTGGTCTGGGAGCTACTTTGTGACTGGCCGGGGATCGCGACATCTCGTGGGAGCATCAGGGGGTCCCGGAATTCGTTACGGTTTTGGTTCGGATGTGGTCGACATCGATTCATCGGATGTGGTCGATATTCGTTTCGATTTCGTCGGATGTGGTCGACATCTGAAAGCAATCTGCGAAACATTTGGACGGCATTTGACTGAAGTTTGGACGAGATCTGGTCGTCAACAGTTGGACGACATCTGTACGACATCCGTTCGAAATCACATGTATGATAGGGCTGCGGAGGTCCACAGAGGCTCCCATGAAGGCTCACCCAGTGGCCTTGGCTGACCCGCGTCAGCGCTGACCCCGATCAGCGCCTTGGCTGATCCGCGTCAGCGCTGACACCCCGATCAGCGCGTCCCCGATCTGATCGGGCGCTGCGCAATGGAAGGGCGATAAACTGAAAGATGCACCTTGTGCACCAAGCGGGCACGAAAGGGGCATGAAAGGTTCACGTTTCTGCACCCCCCCGCTCCCCCCTCCCCCCTCCCTCCTCCTCCTCCTCCTCCTCCCCTCCTCCTCCTCCTCCTCCTGTATCGCCCCCGTCTCCCTGGAGCAACGCCCGATCGATCTCAGGTCAACACCCGGCTCGCCCGGGGGGCCCGCCCCCGCGGCCGGCCCCCCAGACGCGCTCCCCTTCGCCTGCCCGAGGGGGGGTAGGATGGGGGGCAGAGCAGCCCAGATGCCGGGCGCGCGGGCTCGGCTCAGTTGCCCTCCTCCCCCCTCTCCGGCCCCGTCGCTGGCCCCGAGGGGAGGGGGGGTCGGCGGCCCAGCCGCCGGGCGCGCCCGCGCGGCGCCCGAGGCGCGCTCCCCCACTCGCTGGCCCGAGGGGGAGGGGGCGGGGGCGGCGGCCCCCAGGGGCCGGGCGCCCGGGCTCGGCGCCTGCGCGCGTAGGTTGGCTGCGCGTGTCGGTGCGGCCAGAAGGGGTACTCCGAGTTTCTTGATAAGCGTCGGGGGGGCGTCACCTCCGCCGACAGCCCCACATCGACCCCCGTCGCGGGCAGCCACCGCGCGCCGAAGGCGCTCCGACCCCCGTCGCGGCGCGACAACGATGCGAGGTTGACGCCCGTCGGGGGGATACCTCCCCACGCTTATTAAGAAACCCAGGGTGCGGAGAGAACAGCGTCGGGAGCCTTGAGGCGGGGGTCGGTGCAAACGGGGGTCAGCCAGAGCGCCAGATCTTGCAGGGCCACTCCCGAGAAATCCTGGGGGCACCTCGGGCCGGAGGCACTTCTGGCAACACCCGAGAGGGGGTGTGCGTGCTCGCCGGCGCTGCCACGGCGGCCTCCGCCTCTGCGCTGGGCGGCGGCGCGGCCCGCTGGAGGCTCTCGAGCATCGAAGAGAAGGGGGGTCCACCTCCCTCTCTCCTCCTCCTCCTCCTCCTCCTCCTCCTCCTCCTCCTCCTCCTCCTCCTCCTCCTCCTCCTCCTCCTCCTCCTCCTCCTCCTCATCCCAACTACAGCCGACGTGCTGCCACAAGGACACCTGAGTGAGGAACGAGGAGGCTTTTCTGGTCTGGGCGAGCCTCGGCCAGGAAGAGGCTACCCGACCTGAGTCTCGGGAGTGGCTCCCAAAACCAGAGCCCCCTGGACCCCCCTGGCGGCGCCTCCTCTGCCGCCCCTGGCGCGCTCTACGCGCCAGGGAGAGGGGTCCAGCGCAGATCCAAGAAATCCACGCGGACTGTCAAAAGTCTAGGTTCATGCATTTGTTCCTCTCGAGCAGGCAGCTCCACTGCGGGAGGTTCGCGTCGCGCTGGCGCGGCTTCGACCCCAGCGTTCGAGTAGGGAACCACTTATAGAACCACAAAGATGATTTCTCCGTCGAGTCTACGGAAAACACGTTGAATGCTCCGTATATCTTCGGAACGTGCCGAATCAGTTCGACAGACCAACAAAGTTTAGGGTAAATCAATTCCGCATTCGATCCTTTACTCGAAGCTTTGCCTGTCAGGGTCGAGTGCCGGCAGCGGCCCGAAAGCGGCCGGCAGCGAACGAGCTGCGCCATGGGAGAGCCGCGGTCATGCAGTGTCGGTTGGCCTTTGCGGTATCAAATGCCAGCGCCGACATCATCGCGACGCGAACCAGTTGTGCTCACCCCTCTTTTTCATACTTGCTTCACGCACCCTGCGGCATCCAAGATCCGAATATCCTCGAAGCTCTAAGGTGCGTTGTACGACAAGCACCTTCTCGAAGGAGAAGAACACGCATAAACATAATGTATGCATCGACGCTGGACTCCCCTCCTTGCCGCGCGGAGCGCGCCAGGGGCGACGCCCGAGGCGCCGCCATGGAGCTCCACCGCCGACACAAGAAATCCGCGCGGAGCTCCGAAAGTTTATGTTTGTGCCACCTGTTGCTCCCCAACTACTGCAAGAATCGCAGGGGCGTCACGTTGCCTTTCTCCCTGGGCGGCGGGCCGAAGTCCAGAGTACTTTCAGCGCCTCCCTGCTTGATGCTCCCGCCTGCTTCTCCCGAACGGTCCGCACGCCGGCGCCCAGACGCGCCCTTCACTTTACCAGTGCAGGTCTCCTGCAATGTGGGCATCGGCTGCAGCACGTTTGCGCCGCAGCTCGCGAGCTGCACGGGAGAGCCAGGGAGTGGAGATGACACGTCTCCGTGGAATCCAGTCGCCTGCGTGTTCGGCGAGGCTCCCAGGCTAGTGCGCGCAATTGCCACCCCCCTGGGGCTATCTGCCCATTTGCGTCTCCCCCGATCCGTCAGATAAGCAGCCCTGAAACGCACTTTGTGGCTTGTGCGTCGGAGCCACTGCTCGACGAGCAAATAGAACGGCGGGAGCATATTTTGTTAGGAGGTCGGCGTTGATTTTTGGGGGCGACGCTTGAGGCCCGCCAGGGGGGTCCAGCGCCGATCCAAGGACCCCCGCGGGGAGGTCCCAACGTTCAGCTTTATGCCACAAGTTGTTGGCGGGGGCTGGCCTTGAGGAGGAGGGTAGGGGTTAGGCGTGAGGAGGAGGCCTGAGGAGGAGGCTGGGGACCCAGACCCCCGACGTCATGATTTTGTCACAGCGTCGACCCCCAGAGATCTCGACTCATTCCCCGGAACCCGCCGTTCATGCCGAGTCTGGGGGGAAAAAAAAAATGACATAAACATAAAAACTCAGAGGTCCGCGCGGATTTCTCGGATCGTCGCTGTGGCCCCCCGGCGCGCTCCGCGCGCCAGGGAAGGGGGTCCAGCGCCGACCCGAGAAATCCGCGCGGACCTCCGAGTTTTTATGTTTATCTCACTTTTTGTTCCCCTAGGGTCGTGTTTTGACGGCCCGAGGCCCGGCCAGGGGCCCCGGAGGCCGCAGGCGGCGACAAAGATGGCCCGTCGAGAACGGCTGGCGGTCGCCTGCCTCCGTGGCGGGTAGGCGCTCGCTCCCGAGGGCGCGCACGCTCCGCGCAGCGCGTGCGCGCCCTCAGGCTGCGGAGGTTCGGCCGCGGCGCCCGCCTCCGCAGCGTTACGGGGCGTGAAAACGACCACAGCCACTGCTTTTCTTCTGTTGCCACCTTCAAGTCCCGCAGAAAGAAAGCAGTGGTTGTGGTCATTTTCGTTGAGCTTGGCACCAGGGAAATGACCACAACCACTGCTTCTTTTTCGGTCGGCTGGAAGGCGGCGCAAACAAGAAGCAGTGGTTGTGGTCATTTTCCCGTCCCGCAAGCGTGTCGCCGATCTGGTCAGACATTCGGGGTTCGTTCCGATTCCTCCGATTCGATTCGATCTCGATGGCTTCCGATTCGATTTCGGATTCCGGCTTGGGCTCCGATTTCTCAATGGATGTTTTCCAGCCTGCCGATTCCCGCCGATTCGACTTCTCCCGACTCGGCTGCCGACTTCCGCGGGTCCAATCCATTTCGATCGCCGATCCGACTTGTCGATGTTGGGCTCTCCTGGACATTGGCTCTGGAGCGCAGGCAGAATAGTGCCGCGCCGCGCGCGCGGCGGGGAGTGCGGGAGGCCGTTCCTGTGCAAGGCGTTCAATGGAGAGGAGGCATGTTGCCAGATCAGTTTTCCAGATGTCCAAGGCATGTTTCAAACATGTTTCCGGCATGCCTGGCTCCAGACATGTCAACGACGAGCCTTGTTTTGGCTCAGGGCCGCTACCGCGGAACAAGAAGAACACGTCTTGAAAGTGCTGGAACACGTTTTGAACATCGGGGTCTGGGGAGGCGGGTGGATCTGCCGCGGGCTCCGCCGCGCCCCGCCGCGCCCGGTGAGGAGGACCTTCCCGGGCGCGTCCCGCAGCGCAAGGTGCGCGGCCTCGGGCCGCGCGGGCCGCGCGGCCGCCGTCGCCGCGGCGGCTCGCGCCGAGGAGCCCGGGCCGACGGGAGGCTTCGGGGGGCAGCCTGGGGGGCGGGTGGGAAGGCCTTGCGCCTCCTCCTCCTCCTCCTCCTGCTCCTCCTCCTCCTCCTCCTCCACCTCCTCCTCCTCCTCCTCCTCCTCCTCCTCCGTAGTCGTTTTGGCTCAAGAGCTTGCTCGCCCCTTGCTCGAGCTGGCAGGCCGACGCGACCGCGGCGGCATTCCTCGGCGCGGTGGTGCGAGCTGGCCGCTCTCGCCAGGTGGCGGTGGCCGGCAGGCCGCGCCGAGGCTTGCAGCTCGCTTGTGCAGGAGAAGGATTGGAGCAGTGGCGAGGCGTCCGGGTTTGCCTATATGGGCCCTCCGACGAGTGTTCCGAGAACCTGGTGTGTGGTCTGCACGACATGCTCTTAGAACATTTCTGGCTGCGGCTGTCTTGTTTCAACACAGCTGTCCCATGTTCTAAGAACATTGCGTTTGCTACTAGAGCATGTTAGGGGTTCTAAGAACATGTCGTGTTAGGCCTACAGGAGCGCCGGGACGGTCAGTCCCTGCTCAAATAATGTGGACGATGATGTCCAGGCGCGCGCGGGGCTGACCAAGCCCGTCCTTCGAGCGAAGGTCGAGGCGGCGATCAGCGACTCGCCGATCGTCATCGACGGCGGGGTCAAAGCGCAGCGGAGCGTCGCAGAGCACGGCCTCTTCCGGGAGGGCGCGGAGGGTTTTGCCCAAGAGCGGATGGAGGCTAAGCGGCGGCAGCGGGGGCGGCGGCGCGGTGCCAAGTGTGGTGCCCAGGATCTCGCCTCGTACAAAGATGGGGGCGTGGGCATGGCGAGACCATGGAGGTCCCCGTTGCCAGCGGCGTGGAGGTCGCCACCGAGGTTTGCAAGCAGGACGTCCAGCTGGAGAAGAAGAAGCGGGACCCCGTGGTTGAGGCGTGCGGGCGGCTCATGGATTTCACGGACAAGGTCACCGCCCTCGAGGACCAGCTGGCGAAGGCGGACGAAGCCAGGTCCACGGCCGCGAAGTCCGTCTTCGGATGCGGCCCCGAGGCCGGAGGCTCAGGAATTGGGCTTGTGCAGCTGAAAGGCCGCCAGCGTGACCGAGCAGGTGTAAGTTTCGGCCATCGTCGCGGTGCCATTCGACAAAGAGCATGTTTTTTTTATTCGGGGCCGATGACGGCCGCCATCTGCGGGGGGGGGGCCGATGACGTCACGTTCTGCGCCGGCGGCGTCTGGGAATGCCAAAGAATGGCCGAGGGCAGGTAGCAGCAGCATGTAGGTGGCCACCTGCACAACAGCGCCTGTGTACACCACAGCGCCTGTGTACACCATAGCGCCTGCGTGCATCACAGCGCCTGTGCAGACCACACCGCCGATGTACACCACAGCAGCCCCGTGCAAGACAGCACCAGTGTACACCACAGTGCCTGCGTGCACCGAAGCGCCTGTGTACACCGAAGCGCCTACGTACACCACCTCAGCAGTGTGCAACACAGCACCAGTGTACACCGCAGTGCCTGCGTGCACCAAAGCGCCTGCATACACCACGGCGCCTGTCTGCACCACTGCAACCGTGCGCAGTAGAGCACCATTGTTCGATATAAAATGTCCAAGGGGATCCTTGTGAGAAAGTGGGACGCCTGTGGATTCCACAGGAAAAATTGCATTGCATAGGTTTTGGGGAGAAGTCCGTATGGACAAAGGAGCGCCGCTGGAATCAACGAGTCCTCACGAGTCTTCCTGTATCATCCTAACTCCTCCCACCTGCTTCCCGAGAGCTCCCGCAGAATTGGCCGTCCGAGAACCAAGTGGACTGATCCAATAACCATTCTGCGGTGCACGCTGAGATGCGCACGTGCGCTGTAGCGCCGACCCGCGTCGACGGGGGGAAGGGTGAGGCAGGAGGAGAGGAGGAGGAGGATGAGGAGGAGGAGGAGGAGGAGGAGGAGGAGGAGGAGGAGGAGGAGGAGGGGAAAACATCGCATTGTATCATCAGCACTTTCCTGGCGTGGTGTTCAGCTATCCGCAGCAAATCCTCACCGACGTGTTCCTTCTACCTGTCCTGCGCACGTTGACACTTGGTGTACACCAGCGTTGCGTTGCACACAGATGCTGTGGTGTACACAGGCGCCGTGGTGTGCACAGGCGCTTCGGTGCACGCAAGCATCGTGGTGTACACTGGCGTTACGTTGCACATGGTTGCTGCGGTGTACACATTCCCTGTGGTGTACACATGCATTTTGGTGTACGCAAACATCGTGATGTACACAAGCGCTGCGTTGCACACGGCTGCTGCGGAGTACACGGGCGTTGTGGTGTACTCGCGCGCTGTGGTTCACGCGAGCACTGTGGTGTACACAGGCGCTGTGGTGCAGATCGCCACCTGCATGTTGCTCCAGTTTGGCGCTGATCATCCCTACGCATTCCTGGACGCCGCTGGCGCGGAACGTGACGTCATGTTGGGGAGGAGGGGGCGGGTGGCGGCGGGGCCGATGACGGCCGCTATCCCGGAAAAATAGTCTGACGAAGGACCCGACCATATGTAGTTGCGAGTACCACAAGGCAGGTTGAACGAACGGGAGGGAACTGGCCACGAAAAGTTTGAGGGGTGTGCCGACATGTGTGCGGTGGGCGCATACGAAGGCAGCCCTGGTGCCTTCGGTGGAGCTCCTTGTGGGACCACGAAGCGTGCAAGAGGTGTGCCGACATTGGTGCTGTGGGCGCATTGGAACGCAGCCACTGGGGCCTTCGGTGGAGCTCCCTATGGGGCCACTAAGCGTGTGAGGGGTGTGCCGAAATCGGCGCGGTGGGCGCATGCGAGCGCAGCCACTGGGGCCTTCGGTGGAGCTCCCAATGGGGCCGCGAAACGTGTGATGGGTGTGCCGAAATGGGTGCGGTGGGCGCATACGAACGCAGCAATTGGGGCCGTCGGTGGAGCTCCTTGTGGGGCCTCGAAACGTGTGAGGGGTGTGCCGAAATGGGTGCGGTGGGCGCATGCGAACGCAAGAATTGGAGCCTTCGGTGGAGTTCCCCTTGTGGCCACGAAACGTGTGATGGGCGTGCCGAAATGGGCGCGGTGGGCGCAGGTGAACGCAGCCACTGTGGCCTTCGGTGGAACTCTCTAGGGGCCACGAAACGTGTGAGGGGTGTGCCGAAATGGGTGCGGTGGAGCTCCCTTTGGGGCCACGAAACGTGTGACGGGGTTGCCGAAAATGACGCGGTGGGCGCATGTGAACGCAGCCACACGGCCTTCGGTGAGGCCCCCTTCATGGGGCCACGAAGCGTGTGAGGGGTGTGCCGAAATGGGTGCGGTGGGCGCATGTGAACGCAGCCACTGTGGCCTTCGGTGGATCTCCTTGTGGGACCACGAAACGTGTGAGAGGTTTGCCGAAATTGGTGCTGTGGGCGCATTGGAACGCAGTCACTGTGGCCTTCGGTGGAGCTCCCTGTGGGGCCGCGAAACGTGTGAGGGGTGTGCCGAAATGGGTGCGGTGGGCGCATGCGAACGCAGCCACTGGGGCCTTCGGTGGGGCTCCCTTTGGGGCCGCGAAACGTGTGAGGGGTGTGCCGAGCTGGGTGCGGTGGACGCATGCGAACGCAGCCACTGGGGCCTTCGGTGGGGCTCCCTTTGGGGCCGCGAAACGTGTGATGGGTGTGCCGAAATGAGTGCGGTGGACGCATGTGAACGCAGCCACTGGGGCCTTCTGTGGAGCTCCCTTTGGGGCCACGAAAGTTGTGAGGGGTGTGCCAGAATGGGTGCGGTGGGCGCATGTGAACGCAGCCACTGTGGCCTTCGGTGGAGCTCCCTGTGGGGCCACGAAACGTGTGAGGGCTGATGGTGATGATGATGAGGATGATGATGACGATGGGAGGAGGGAGGAGGGGGAGGAGGAGGAGGAGAGGAGAGGAGAGGAGGAGTGACGCGGGGCGTTGTCTCTTCAAAACGAGGGCCCAGCACCACAGGATGGTTAGGAAATAGTATCAAAAACGGGTTCCAAGGGCGGACTGGTGGCGGTGTTCCCGGCTTGGGCACCCCACGTTCTCTTCCAGGTCTGAGGAACATTCTGGACTCCCAGGGTCGCCGGGGTTGGTGTCCAACATTCCCCGATGATGTTGGGGTCCAGCGATCTGCGCCGCGTGGACGGCAGCTGCCGAACCCTTCATGGCGAATCCTCTTCATGCTCCCTGCTGCTGCTCCTCCTCCTCCTCCTCCTCCTCTTCGTCCTCCTCCGCCTCTTCCTCCTTTCTCCTCACAAGGGCGATTAGCCTCACTCCGTGCACGCATACGAGACACAGAGAAGGCCACTCGTGAGTCTGGATCGACACGCTCAATTTCTTGAAGTGTTGGAAGGAACAGATTGGAAGGCATTTCGATTGCATATATTGTGGAGATGTCAGGCTGATATCGTTTTTTTCATATCGGCTTAGGCTCTCAATGCAACTGTTTGCCCCCGGCGCTGCCTTTGGCCGTGTCTTGGTCTGGGATGTCTACCTATGACCGTTGATACGGCTGACCCTTCATGGCTCACACGCTGAACGGTATGCACCGCCCCGGCATCGAGCCGTGAGTCCGATGTACTCGTCGCCTGCTTCGACCAGGAACCGTCGCTGCGGCCGCCACCATGCCTCCTCCTCCTCCGTTCATGTTTGTTAGTTTTCCTTGAGGGCCGTCGCAAACTCCCCCCCCCCCCTCCGTTGCTGCTGTTTGCCTTCTCCTCTTCTCGCCTTCGTCCTTGTGTCCTTCTCGCTTTGCTGCTGCCTTGCTGGGGTGTGGGTCAATTCGGGGAGATCGGGTGTCTCTTGGACCTGCCTGGTGCCCGCCGCGCCCTGGGCGTCGGTCCCTGCGGGACCCGAGGGGCATCAACCCCCGTTCGCACGATTTAAACGTTTGCGACTTGTCCCTTAACCTCGCGGTATTAGGGGCTGTGCGGTGCGTTGTACCCCGACTTCGTTCGACTCGACCGTGATCGACGATATGTGGGAGGTAGCTCGCTCGTTGTAGCATACCGCAGCAGGTGAGCAGCATGTGGCACACAGACACGCAGCGCAATGCCGAGTCTGTTTTTCTCTCTATCTCTTTCTCTCTCTCCCTCTCTCTCCGTTCCCTCCTGCTCCTGCTCCTCCTGCTCCTCCTGTTCCTGCTCCTCCTCGTCCTTTTGCTCCTGCTCCTGCTCATCCTCCTCTTTCATCTCTTCCCCCTGCTTCCCCAACGGTGGAGAGTGAATGGGCACTACAGCGTTGAGACTTCGGCGCCCAGCAGTCTCCCTGTCATATGCTACTACGCCTGCTGACAGCACGCCAGCACTCCCGCGCAGCGTTGCCTCACAGGCACTTGCAGGGGCCGGCGCGAGATCAAAGGGCGGTTTTGCTTTCACGGTGCGCAAGAGATCGCCCGATGGGTTCCACCCGGCGGCCCACCCTCTAATTTCTCTCGGGCCATCTGGGGCCCCGCCGGAGGCGACCAGGGTTAAGTCGGTCGTGTCCCTCCATGAGAGGAAAAAAATAGTCAAAAGATTGTCTGGGAACGATTTTTCACTATGTTTGATGATTGTTTGAACGTTTGTTTGCTATGTTTCGTTTCTCGCCCAGAACCTGCCTGTAGGAGGACACGACCGACTTAAGACCAGGGATTGGTTCTCGCGGCACTTCGGGGGGGACCCTGCAGGGCCTCCACAGGGGCCCGCGGCTCCAGGGCATGCCGCGCCTCGGCTGGCTTTCGCTTCTGCACTGCTCCAGGGCTGGACCTAACCGCTGCGTTGCTGGACTTTGGCTGTGTATTGGTTTTCGCTGTTGGAAGGGAGGTGCAGGAAAGCAGGGGGAGCAAAACGAAAATGCACACGAAAGCATCACGAACAACAACGTTTACGTAGGTTCAGCCCCGCACTGCTCGCGCTCGGCCGCCCAGCGCTGGCGGACCGTGCTACGGCCCAGACCGAGCGAACGTCCGGGGCCGACGCTCCAGGCGGAGTGCGATGCGGGGGTGGGGGGGGGCGCCTGTCGGGGAGCCCCCGCGGTGGTGGCGCCCCTCTGCCAGGGAACAACAAATCCCCTTGGATCTCCCCCTCTCAGCTTTCATGTTCTCTCTCGCTCCATCTGTCTCTCGTTCTCTCTCTCTCTCTCTCTCTCTCTCTCTTACCGTGACCTCTCCCTCTGTGAGCAGTGAACCTCCTCCTGCTCCTCCTCCTCCTCATTCATCTCCTCTTCCTCCTGCTCCTCCTCCTCTTCCCTCTCTTCCTCCCCCTCGTTCATCTCGATCGTGAGCCAGCGCACGCCAAATCTATGACGACGGTTTTGCCCAGCAGAGAAGCGCTCGCCATTGCTCGAGCAGCGAGGCATGCGGCCGATCTGCCAGGGGGCAGCTGGCGGTGGAGACGAGTCGAGTCGTTCTTCCCGACGTTCTGCCTCCTCCTGTCTCCTCCTCCTCTCTCCTCCTCCTCCTCCTCCTCCTCCTCCTCCTCCTCCCTCCTCCTCCCTCCTCCTCGACCATTCCCCTCTCCTCCTCCTCCTCCTCCTCCTCCTCCTCCTCCTCCTCCTCCACCTCCTCCTCGACCATCCCTCTGCTGGGGTGGGGTGGGTGTCGACGCCTGCGCACGCGTCCTCTTGCACGCTCCAGACCTGGCCAGAGCGGCCGCGCGGAGCGAGCCCTGAGCGGCCCGGGTCCCAATTTGGCCCTGCGGGGCCCGGCGGGGTGGCAGCCTCGGCTCCCTGAGGGCCGCAAGACACCTCAGGGGCTAGCGCGCGCCCGTCACCCCGGCAGCGCTCGGACGTGCGCGTGGCTTCTCGGCGATGCCAGCGCCGGCGAATGTGGGCCATCGAGGAGCAGAGACAGCTCGGGTCACCCTGGGGGAAAAAACACACACACACACACACCAACACACACGCACGCACACATGAAGCCGAAGAAGTCACAGGGGATGGACGTTCGAGCGATGGCACGTCACACCTCCTCCTCCTCCTCCTCCTCTTCCTCCTCCTCCTCCTCCTCCTCTTCCTCCTCCTCCTCCTCCTCCTCCTCCTTTCATCTGTTCTCTCTGGCCCGTGGGGTGCCGAATTGTAGCCGGCAAGCGTGGCAGTGACCAATGCCGCCACGGGACATAAAGAGTGGTGGAGCCCAACGTCACCAGCCACAGGGCTGGGCCAAGGTCCCACCAAGGGTGCAGCCGAGCGATGGCACCTCCCGCACCCTCTGCTTCCAACACTCCGGTCCCGCCATCCAGAGAGTTCTGCACCACTTTCAAGGCTGAGATCCTCTCCTCAGGAGTCCGCATACGGATCGCGCTGCATGGCAGCCCCGAGCAGCTCCAGCAAAGGGTTACCGTCAGTAGCAAATGGGCACCGTCAGCAGCATTGCGGAGCCGTGCTGGATCAGGTAAGCAGTGGCAGCAGGTATTGTCGGTGCGACAAGGCGTGCAGACCTGGAGATCCGATGCCGCGACAAAAAAAGAGCACCACGCCACATCACGACCATAACCCTCCTCGAGGAACCAAACATCACACAAGCATCAACTTCCAGAGGTCCACGCTGATCTCTTGACGATGTCAATGACGATGGTGATGAGGACATACGGGTGCCAGATGCAAGGGTGAGAGTACGGAGGAGGGGGAGGAGGAGGAGGAGGAGGAGGAGAAGGCAGAGGAGGAGGAGGAGGAGAAGGAGGAGGAGGAGGAGAAGAGGAGGAGGAGGGGAGTGACGTGTGGTGCTGTCTCTCCTCCAGAACAGGGACCCAACTCAACGCAGGATGGTTGGGAATCACACTAGTATCAACTTCCAGACGTCCGCGCTGGTTTCTTGGCTTCGGGGGCGGCTCCGGAGGCGCCGCCTGTGGGCCCCGGCGCCGAGCCAAGAAGTCTGCGCGGACTTCGGAAGGTCGATTCAAGAGGCGCACGCCTTCCCAGAGGTCCGAGGATACGGGTTCGGATACCTTCTTCAATGCGATATGATTTCTCGAATCTTCTTTAAGAGGCGTGAGCCTTCCCAGGACATGATTTCTTCGATATGACGCTTTTCCCTGGATTTCGGCCTCCGGATCCTGTTATCGGGCCCGGGGGCCATCAGAAATGGATCCAGAGCGAAAAACCACCCACGGGGAAAGGGTCGGGACCCCTGGAAGCCGCGGACGGACAACGTCATGTCGGCGGAGGTCTGTGTTCCCGCCCCCCCCCAAAGGAAGTGAGGAGCCCACGGAAGGTGCCAGGGCGAGTCGTGGTCCTCAGTGTCTGGGCCGCGGAGGCACGTGTCTGGGCCTCCCAGGTGGGGTCGGAGGAGATGGGGTCGGGGGATCACGCCGCATCTGCCGATGCATCGCCGATGCGGCTCGATGTGCAGCCTGATTTGATTCACGTCGACGTCGCCGATGCAACGCCGACGTCGACGATGCGGCGCGATGCTCCGACCCCATCTACTCGGACCCCATCTAGGATTCAGTCGGGCATTTCCCTCTACAGGAGGAATATCAAAAAAAAAGAAGGAAAAATACCCTGGGGGCGTTGTTTCGACTACGTTTGATTATGCTGGGGTAGGTCTTTGACTATTTTCTATGTTTCGCCCAAGCTCTGCCTGCAGGGGGGCACGCCCGACCTGAAGCTAGGTCCAAGCGACTCTGGGTCCCTCGAGCCCGGCCGCTCCGCGGGCGGAGAGGAGTGGCGCCTGGCCCTCCTCCTCGTGAGGGGCGCGCGGCGGCAGGGGCGGCCGCGTGACCCGGCCGGGGTGGGCGCGGCGCTCTGGGCGGTGGCGCGGGCGTCCGCGTGGGGCGCGGCCCTGTGGCTGCTGGCGGGGCCCCCTGCCGCAGGCCCTGCCGCAAGCAGTGGCGAAGCGTCCGGGCTCGGCCAGCGGCCCCACGGAAGAGTGCTCTCTGAGAGCCGCTGGTGGTCTGCACGAAGTGTTCTGGGTTCTCGGAGCATCTCTGGCCGAGACTGTCCTGTTTGAACACTTCAGGATTTTATGTTCTGAGGGCTTTGTTCTTGTTATGGCAACACTTTCAGGTTCTGAGAACGTTTCGTGGTAGGCCCATGGGAATGCCGGGACGGCCGGTCCATGCTCAGCAGTCGGCGGGCCCAGGCCTCCGGGTGGCAGGCGTTGTTGTAGTCCCCGTCGTCGGCGCCCAAGGTTCCAAGGCCCGAGGTGTTCGGACGTGTTCGTCGGTTCTCGGCGGCTTTCCAGCCTCGGGGTGCCTTCCAGCGGCTGCGCCTCGCCGAGAGCGTTCCGGGGGTGCCCAGATCGTCCGAAACGCCTGCCAGAGAGTCGAGCTGTGACCCGAAAGCCAAGAGGTAATTAGGGGGGATAGGTTCGGCGGGGGTCGCATCGACCCTAAATCGCCCACTCGTAGCCGTTAGGGGCCGATTGCCCACCCCGCCCAGGAGTATGCGGATTCACTCGGGGGGCCCATCGCCGATTTATCGGCGATGTATCGCCGATTCCAGACCGAGGTTCCCCCCCCTCCCCGCTTGACGTTGCCGCTCATCTGGAGTCGAGCGCTATGGCAACGAAGGACCACCCCAGCTGGGCTGGTCTTAGTGGTATCGAAGGTATCGTCTTGCCTGCCTGCACGACGCTTCGGCACCGCTCGCACGTCGTGGCCCAGGAGGAGGGGGAGAAGGAGGAGGAGGGGGGAGAAAGAAGAAGGAGGAGGATGAGGAGGAAAAGGAGGAGAAGGAGTAGGATGAGGAGGAGGAGGAGGATAAGTTGCCGCCAGCAATGTTTTTTTTACGTAAGGCTAGCCAAGTGGCAAGCCAAGCCAAGTGACGCCAACATGTTCTTAACGCAGTAGAACATGTTGGCGTCAGGGGCTGCAGTTGCGATGAGCTGCATGGAGTGCAGGGGAGGAGGAGGAGGAGGGGGAGGGAAGAGGAGGAGGAGGGAGGAGGGAGGAGGAGGGAGGAGGAGTGAGGACGAGGGAGGAGGGGGGAGGAGGAGGGGGGAGGGGGTTCTGACGCTTTTCGTTTTTTCCTGGTCCTCTTCGGCTGGTTCGGCCTTTCCTGACGCCCTCGTCGCCGCGGCTGGATCTGCCTCCCCTCCTAGGACTTCCCCCCCCTCCTCGCCGTGCTGAACTGCGATGTGCCATGCCGCGAGTGTGCTCTATATAGCGTTGTGGATCGAGTCCTCCCTGGCATTCGGGTCCTCACCGAACTGATCTGGAGCGTAAGCTCGAGCTGCCTCAGCACACAGTAGCTGCCCCAGAACCAATCGACATAGGGAACATGCCAGGAGGACGCGCCGCGGAACGTCCCAAGGGACGCGCCAGGCGACGTGCCAGGGGACGTGCCATGGGGACGCACCGCGGGACGTGCCAAGGGGACGCGCTACGGAACGTGCCAATGGACGTGCCGAGGGACGTGCCAGGGGACGCGCCGCGCAACGTGCCAGGTGGACTCGCCACGGAACGCGCCAAGGAACGTGCCAAGGTGCATAGTTGAGTGTATCGATCTTGATGTACCGTGCCGACGGCTGTGCTGTGCTACGCCGTGCTGAACTGCGATGTGCCATGCCGCGATTGTGCTCTATATAGCGTTGTGGATCGAGTCCTCCCTGGCATTCGGGTCCTCACCGAACTGATCTGGATCGTAAGCTCGAGCTGCCTGAGCAGATGGTAGCTGCCCCAGAACCAATCGACAGAGGGAACATGCCAGGAGGACGCGCCGCGGAACGTCCCAAGGGACGCGCCAGGCGACGTGACAGGGGACGTGCCATGGGCACGCACCGCGGGACGTGCCAAGGGGACGCGCTACGGAACGTGCCAATGGACGTGCACCGCGCGACGTGCCAGGGGGACTCGCCACGGGACGCTCCGCGGAACGTGCCAGGCGACATGCCAGGCCGCAATGCTAAGGGTATCGATGTTGATGTACCGTACCGAGGGCTGTGCTGTGCCTGGGCGACCTGGACATGTGAAAACACGCGTTTCGCTCAAGACGTTGTCAGCACATCCTCATGCTAAACATCAGCCTGGGCAACCTGGACACGTGCAAACAAGCGTCTCGCTCGAAACATCCTCAACAAATGCTCATGCTAGACATCCGCCTGGGCGACCTGGACACGTGAAAATAAGCCTCTGGTTCGAGACATCCTCAACAAATCCTCATGCTAGACATCTGTCTGGGCCACCTGGAGGCGTGAAACCAAGCGTCTCGCTCGAGACATCCTCAAGACCTGGGCACGTGAAAACAAGCAATCCACTTGAGAGATCCTCAGAATTCAGGTCCCCAGGAGAGGACAATCTACAACACAAAACAAGCGTTTCGCTCGAGACATCCTCAATAAATTCTGAAAAACAAGCGTTTCGCTAGGGACATCCTCAAATTTTAATTCGCCGGCCCTCTTCCCACTCGTTATTTATCGCAAAAGAAATTCGCCGGCCCTCTTCCCGTCAAGCCCGGGGGGAAACCATCTAAAAGAGAACCCTGGGCTCAAGCCCTTTCCGGGGGGAAAAAAAAAAAAAAAAAAAAAAACAAAAAAAACATGATGGACCCACGAACCCGGAAAGGGATATAGACATGTGGAGCATGGACACGTTTTCACGATACCCAAGTGGGCATCACCTCACGAAACATCCCACGAGACACCTCACGAAGCATCCCACGAGACACCTCACGAGACATGACACGAGACACCTCACGAAACATTCCACGAGACACCCCGCGAAACATTCCACGAGACACCCCACGAAACATTCCACGACGACAGGCAACCACTCAACCAAGGCGGTGTGGTCGTGCTGGGGAGTGGTCGTGCTGGGGTGTGGTCGTGCTGGGGGTGGTCGTGCTGGGGGGTGGTCGTGCTGGGCTGGGGTGGTCGTGTCGTGGTCTGCGTGGTCGTGCTGGTGCGTGCTGGGGGGGGTGTGGTCGTGCTGGGGTGTGGTCGTGCCTGTGCGTGGGGTCGTGCTGGGGTGGGGTCGTGCTGGGGTGTGGTCGTGCTGGGGTGTGGTCGTGCTGGGGTGTGGTCGTGCTGGGGCGTGGTCGTGCTGGGGTGGGGTCGTGCTGGGGTGGGGTCGTGCTGGGGTGTGGTCGTGCTGGGGTGGTCGCACCCTGTGATTTATCGATCGGGTCGTGCTGGGGTGTGGTCGTGCTGGGGTGTGGTCGTGCTGGGGTGTGGTCGTGCTGGGGTGTGGTCGTGCTGGGGTGGTGGTCGTGCTGGGGTGGTGGTCGTGCTGGGGCGTGGTCGTGCTGGGGCGTGGTCGTGCTGGGGTGTGGTCGTGCTGGGGTGTGGTCGTGCTGAGGTGTCCCGCACCCTGTGATTTATCGATCGGGATTTCAAAAACAAGCGTTTCGCCTGAGACATCCTCAAATTTTAATCCGCCGGCCTCCTTCGACCTCGATATTTATCAGGGAAAAAATCCGCCGGCCTCCTTCAAGTTGGCACCGGGGGACAGGTTTACCTACTAAAAGAGAACCCTGGGCCGGAGCCCTTTCCGGGAAAAACATGATGGACCCACGAACCCGGAAAGGGATATAGACATGTGGAGCATGGGCACGTTTTCACGATACCAACGGGGCAACACCTCACGAAACATCCCACGAGACACCTCACGAAACATCCCACGAGACACCTCACGAAACATTCCGCGAGACACCTCACGAAACATTCCAGGAGACACCCCGCGAAACATTCCACGAGACACCCAACGAAACATTCCACGACGACAGGCAACCACTCAACCAAGGCGGTGTGGTCGTGCTGGGGAGTGGTCGTGCTGGGGTGTGGTCGTGCTGGGGGGTGGTCGTGCTGGGGGGTGGTCGTGCTGGGGGGGTGGTCGTGGGGGGGGGGTTGTGACTGGGGCGTGGTCGTGATGGGGCGTGGTCGTGCCTGGGGGCGTGTTTAGTGCTTGGGTCGTGGTAGTGCTGTGGTGAGGTAGTGCTGGGGTATGGGGTAGTGATGGGGTGTGGTTTGATAGGTGGGTCGTGATGCGGGTGGGGTCGTGCTGGGTGGGGTGTGCTGTTTGTGTTGTGGGTAGTGCTGGGGGGTGGGTGTTGCTGGGCGTTGTGGTCGTGCTAGGGGTGGGTCGTGCGGGGGGGGTCGTTGCTGGGCGTGGGTCGTGCTGGGGGCGTGGTCGTGCTGGGGGAGTGGTGGTCGTGCTGGGGGGGTGGTCGTGCTGGGGGGTGGTCGTGCGGGGCGGTGGTAGTGCTGGGGCGTGTTCGTGAGAGTCGGTTCGTGGCTGGGGTGTGGTCGTGCTGTGGTGAGGTCGTGCTGGGGTGTGGTCGTGATGGGGTGTGTCTGCTGGGGCTAGGTCGTGATGGGGTAGGGGTCTTGCTGGGGTGTGGTCGTGCTGGGGTATGGTCGTGCTGGGGTGGGGTCGTGCTGGGGTGGGGTCGTGCTGGGGTCTGGTCGTGCTGGGGTGTGGTCGTGCTGGGGTATGGTCGTGCTAGGGTGGGGTCGTGCATTTCGCTCGAGACATTCTGCCAAAATTCCAGGAAATCGTACAAAAACAAAGGAATTAGTCGAGACATCATCGAAATTCATTCGCGCGGGGCGCTTTTCCGCGTCGCGGTCGGCTCTGCAAAACAAGCGTTTCGCTCGAGACATCCTCGGCAAACTCTGCGGAGCAAGCGTTTCGCTCGAGACATCCTCAACACACGAAAAAGTGGCCCGCACCCTGTGATTTATCGATCGTGATTTCAAAAACAAGCGTTTCGCTCGAGACATCCTCAAATTTTAATTCGCCGGCCTCCTTCGACCTCGTTATTCATCAGGGAAAAAATTCGCCGGCCTCCTTCAAGTTGGCACCGGGGGACAGGTTTACC